CAAAAAATAACTAGACAGTCCTTACCCAAAAGGTGCTCACGATTTAGCGGGGGAGGCGGGAGATGCTCCTGCAAAGCTAACTGACCACACGGGCAGTGTTTGCTTGTGTCAGTTCACACAATAAATTTGAAAGTTCAGAGGAGATAAAGTCCCCTTAGGGCTTTGGGATAAGACTAGGCTTTGCGGGAGGCCTGCATTGAAGAAAAGGGTAGGAATAGCATCTTTCTCCCAAATGGGACACAGAAAGTCATGGAGGCCACGTCACTGGAACTGAAGAAACTGACCGGAGTGGGTGGTATGTCATGGGCAAAATGGCCTTCAACGCCAGGCTAAGAGGTTCCAGTTGATCTAGTCGGCAGTGGGACAGCCACTGCAGGTTTTCAAACAGGTTCGGTCCTGGCACTTAGAAAAACCCCATTGCTAAGTATGTTTCAGAATTTTTACTCGAATGTTATGAAAGCATAGTTTAAGCAAATATTCACTTCGCCAATCACTTGAGAGCCCACAGTGATGAATCTCTTGATCTTCTCTCCCTGTTTAACCGCAAATTCCCTGAGCAAAGGGATTTGACTTACTGTTTCATCAGCACCGAGAGTATTGCCTTCAATTCCAAAGGCACTTTCATTGGATAAACATATAGGTTGAAACCATGAGAAAGGTTCATCAGTAGCTCCTTTATTGAGCTGAAACTTGAGTTTGGGTTTACTCACACCCATCCCATCTAAAGTATATTTGGGGAGAGAAGGAACTAAGGGAGAAAGGGATCGTTTTACCCACCAAATGCTCATTTGTTGGCAAACAAGTTTCCTTGATGACAGCCACAGGTTTGGTTTCCTTGCTGCAGCTTGCAGTGGGCTCTCTGGCTGTCCCCCAGGGCAAGGTTACACCGAAAAATATAACGAGAAATCACCAAGGCGTGAAGCCCGTCCAAATCCATTATATTCTGGAAGCGATCCATGGCTCTTAATGCTTCCCGAAGGACAAATACGTAGCAATGTTCTATTTGCCTTTCCGCTGTTTATAAACATCTGCAATAACTTAGAGGTGTCCAGCTCTGTCAATCTGGCCAACTGCTGTGGCTGGAAATCAGAAAGCTGCCCTGATGGAAAACTTGGTCACTCTGTCTGCAGAGACTTGTGAGGCTATGGCCTAACAAATGTTCTAGAAGTTCCGTTTCCTACCTCAATGTCTTCCACTTTGATGTTTTCCCCAGAGTTCACTGCAACTGATAAATACCAACTTTTAAAACAGTTCACTGTGGTTGTATTCCATCTTTAGAAAAAAGTAAAAAGGTCTCTTAGAGAGCCAGTTGTTGAACTGAAATGAAAATAAAATTCAAGTCTTATTGCCTTTAATATTAACCAGATTTTATTCAAAACTTTTAGGTAGCTATTAATGTTGTCAGCAGAAAAGTAGTATGTAGATGCTATGTTGGTCCTTGATTTAGGTTGTTTTGTTCTGTTTTTGAACAAAACTACCTAAAAGTTTTGTTTTATGCCTGTCTTTGACCACCTATACTGCTCATAAAACACGGGAAGTTAGAATGATCTACTGGGGAAAACCAAAGATTTCTAGCAATACATCAAACAGAGAATTTGCCACAGTGAACAACAACAAATTTAACCAAGATACCATAAAGTAAAGAAAGCAGAAATGATTTTTGCAGGAGAAGAATTAGCAAAATCCACAATGTGTTTGTTTTCCTTTAAAATACTAGGAAATAACTTTTTCAAGAAATTCCCCTTGGGTCAAATGAAATGTCTGTAATTTGTGGGAGAAACCTGGGGACAAATAGAATATGCTGAGTGTGGCAGAATTCTTCCTGAAACAGCTGTTTTGATATGCACTGGTATAAAAATAATAGGGTGCTAACCCCAGAAAGTAATACCAGCGTAACAGAAATGAGAACCCAACACTCAGAAACTGTAATATTACGCTAGCATTGGACTAACTCCTCCATATTTCGTGAGAGGATCATCAAAGGTAAAGTTCTCCAGGAAGAGGTATTTCACAAGTGAAAAGGAGTATGACTGGTCCTCAGTCCCTTATTCGCAATCCCCAAATCCACAAAGCTCTAGGAAACAAATTTTTCTTAACCCAGTTGGCAGCAAACTTAACCTTTTTGCATGAGGCAGTGTTTGACCTTTTATCTCTCCCACTTGGTGTGAACATCCAAGTTTTGTGGCAAGAGCGTTGATGGGTTTGATTTGGTGCTGCCCCAGACCCTACCCCGGAGGGGTGGGTGTGCAGGCGCTGAACTACCCACCTAAAACCCGATCAATTCTGAATTCGGCAACATCGGAACCCTAAAGTTTCAGACATGCATGGTGGATCTCTGTTCCTTTGTTAGATCATACAGTAAACCTAGAAAACTCTGAGACAGATTCATAAGGGAAGTTATAGATTTTTATCTATTAATACAACTACCTATCTATAATCATTTATCGATCTTTAAAATTCATGCAGGAGATAAACTTCATTCACTTCCCTTTCCTTTCTTCCTCTCTCCTTCCGTCCCTCCTTCTTCTTTTTTTTGTGAACCAAGGTCAAGTTGGGGCTACCTGCCTCTCTTCTCCCTATCACTTTTTTCCCCAGGTGTGTACGGAGGGCTCAGCAGAGCCAATGGCTTGGGCAATGCTGTCAGGGTCTTCCACCATTGGACTGGGCCCATCTGTCTGAGAAACTTCTCCCACCATTGCATTTGACCATTTGCAGACAACAGGAAGCACCTGGGGAGCCTTG